TGGATCATGATGAACATCTTTACATGGGAAACTCGTCATCTTCCAAGGTAGAAGGACATGGGAAGATAGTGCTGAAAATGACAAGTGGAAAAGAGCTCACTCTGAATGATGTTCTCCATGTGCCCGATATTAGGAAAAACTTGGTATCTGGTTCTCTACTAAGTAAGAATGGGTTTAAGCTAGTATTTGTCTCGAACAAATTTGTACTATCAAAGAATGAAATGTTTGTAGGAAAAGGCTACCTGAATGAGGGGCTCTTTAAATTGAATGTAATGACTGTTGTACCTCCAATTATGAATAAGAATACATCTTCTTCTTACTTGCTTGAGTTATTTAATATTTGACATGAACGATTAGGACATACAAGTTATAACACTTTGCGTAGACTAATCAAATTAGATTTATTACCAAAGTGTGATTTAAATCCTAATCACAAATGCGATATACGTGTAGAAGTCAAAATGTCACGTCTACCCTTTCGTTCTGTTGAAAGAAGTACCGAACCCCTAGATTTAATTCACACCGACATATGTGATTTAAAATTTGTTCAAACTAGAGGAGGTAATAAGTACTTTATCACTTTTATCGATGATTTTACTCGATATTCCTATGTGTATTTGCTCAAAAGCAAAGACGAAGCAATTGAAGTGTTTAAACACTACAAGTTAGAAGTTGAAAATCAACTTAGCAAAAGGATTAAGGCCATAAGAAGTGATAGAGGTGGTGAATATGATTCACCATTTGAGAAATTCTGTTCGGAACACGGAATTACTCATTAAACTACCGCGCCTTATTATCCTCAATCTAATGGTATTGCCGAACGCAAGAATAGAACATTGAAGGAGATGATGAATGCTATGTTAATAAGTTCTGGATTACCGCAGAACTTGTGGGGGGAAGCCTTGCTTTCCGCCAACTATATTCTTAACAAACTACCACATCAAAAAACGCAAAAAATACCTTATGAAGTATGGAAAGGTCACAAACATAATTATAAATACTTGAAGGAATGGGGATGTTTGGCTAAGATAGTAGTTCCTAAACCTAAAAGGGTTAAGATAGGACCTAAAACCATTGATTGTGTATTCATTGGTTATGCCTACCATAGTAATACGTACA